GTATTTCCATGTAAGACTAAGGAAGATGAGCCAAGTTCGTCAAAATGAATTTTTGAGACTATCATAGAAGATTGTAGTCAAAATTCTGAAAACGATGAAAATGTGGAAATTGAGGAAGAGCCTAGACGAAGTAAGAGGGCAAGGATAGAAAAGTCTTTCGGACTGAATTTTCTAACCTATATGCTAGAGGCTGAACCTCAAACATATAAAGAAGTTGTGAGCTCAACTGAGGGTCATTTATGGAAAGAAGCCATAAAGAGTGAGATTGATTCCATCTTACAAAATCATGCTTGGGAACTAGTGGATTTTCTACCAGGAAATAAACTACTAGGTTCTAAATAGATTTTTAAATGGAAAATGAAGACAGATGGAACAATTGACAAATAAAAGGCCAGACTAGTAATAAAGGGTTATAGACAATGAGAAGGCCTTGATTACTTTGACACGTATTCTCCTGTGACGAGAATAACATCTATTATGATGATACTAGCGAATCTTAAAGTTCATCAAATGGATGTGAAGACAGCCTTTCTAAATGGAGATCTCGAAGAAGAAATCTACATGGAACAACCTGAGGGTTGTGTAGCTCCAGGACAAGAGAAGAAAGTCTGTAAATTGGTGAAGTTTTTGTACAGACTAAAACATGCACCAAAATAATGGCATAAGAAATTTGACGATGTTATGTTGTCAAATGGATTCAAAATCAATGAGTGTGACAAGTGTGTTTATGTCAAGAATACAGACGATGATTATGTCATTCTTTGTCTGTATGTAGACGACATAATAATCGTAGGTAGCAATGATCGGATGGTCAGATCTACGAAACACATGTTGAACTCAAGGTTTGACATGAAAGATATAGGACCGGCTGATGTGATTTTGGGGATCAAAATCAAAAGGGTGCATGATGGTCTCATATTGACTCAGTCACATTACGTGGATAAGATACTTGACAAGTTTAATAAGGATGATTCTGGTATAGCCAGAACTCCTATTTATATAAGTCGACATCTATCTAAAAATAGAAGAGAAAACATATCCCAAGTGGAGTATGCTAGAGTGATTGGCAGTCTTATGTACTTAATGAGCTGTACAAGACCAGATATTGCCTTCATTGTAGATTGAGCAGATTCACAAGTAACCCAGGAGATGACCACTGGAAAGCAATTGTAAGAGTACTGAGGTACTTAAGATATACTCGTGAATATGGATTGCATTACACAAGAGAGCCTGGTGTTTTAGAAAGATACTTTGACGCGAGTTGGATATCCGATACACAGGACTCTAAAGCTACCAGTGGATATGTATTCACCTTAGGTGGTGCAGCTATTTCATGGAAATCCTCTAAGCAAACGGTAATAACCAGATCCACGATGGAAGCTGAGTTTGTCGCATTGGATAAATGTGGCAAAGAAGCAGAATGACTTAGACATTTCTTGGAGGACATTCCGGATTGGCCAAAGCCTGTACCTGTAATTTGTGTACACAGTGATAGCCAATCAGCTATTGGTAGAGCACATAATACGATCTATAATGGTAAGTCCAGACATATACGTTGTCGACATAATACCATTAGACAATTTATCTCAACGGGAGTCATAGTCATTGACTATATAAGGTCGAAAGATAATATTGCGGATCCGCTGACCAAAAGACTGAATCAAGATCAAGTTGAAAAGACATCGAGAGGAATGAGATTGAAGCCCATGAGAAAATAGGTCGAAGCAATGGAAACCCAACCTAGCTGACTGGAGATCCCAAGATCTAGGTTCAATGGGACAACTAAATTGTTTAGACCAACTGAGTTCACTGTGGGGGTAACCCCAGCCTATTCTTATGATGATAACAGTGAAACCCGTACAAGAAGAGGTTAAACATTGGTTTTTAATGATTCTTATGTGTCGGATACGTCAGGAATCCGAGCGGAGTAATACGGGTTATTCTTCATTAAGATATTACCTATGTAAGAGAGAAGTGGGGCCGCTTCAAATGAGAATTGTGAGGGCTCAATTCTTTAGAAACTCTTGCAGAACTAGGTAGATGTTCATGGCCTAAACAAACATAACCATGAGAACATAACGGTGTCAGGAAGCTGTCTGTGTGAGGCATATTAACGTTTACATGAAGGCATAACAGTTCAAGGACATTGCGTCTATTGGTCAGCCAGTAAAGTTTATGTATTCTCACAAGGGAAGGTTCAAAAGGTAACACCTACCTATCCTTTGCAGGCATCGCCGCAGAACTCTATCACCGTGTCGAGTCTGTGTTTTTCTTGTCGTTGGTCAATTTTTATTCATGTGGGGGATTGTTGGAAAAACTGGTTTGTTAAGCCATTTTAAAGGCCCATATTCGGATGGGGCCCAATAGATTTTTGGGACAGGTCTCGATGGATTGGCGTTCTCTGTCACGAGGAGATGGAAATTGAGTATTCATACACTCAAAATGGTTTTTGGGTGAATGAGAAATTGATGGTCTAAGTATGTCACTTGAAATGGTAAAAGTAGATAAAAATTGTAAAAAATCCCACATTGGCTAGGAGTGAAGCCAAGATGGTGTTTATAAGTGATTGCACTTTGAAGCCTAGGTAAGCATGTATGCCAGAGAGGCTCTCTCACGCGCAGGGGGGTGCAAATCACGATCCCGACGGGTTTGGGGCCTAATGCGTGCACCCGCGCCCTGCGGACACGAATGCCGGACCGAAAAACCCACTCCGTGCGAGCTTACTTTTGTAATTTTTTATTTTTACTTCAGCCAAGTCCTTCCAGCTTCCAGCCGTTTGGCCTTAGCATAAGCTGTGTTTAATGCTTGGTAAATGAGCATAATGAGGCTTAATGGTTACCAATGGAGGTAAAACGGTTTTTGCCATGGTTAATGTGCTTAATACCATTAGTTTTTGTCTTCAATGTCCGAACCTATAGGCAAAGTGTGGCCGGATTCATCATGAAAAAATCAAACGGATTTGCTCCATTACAAGGCAGATTAATGTGTGTTTTAAAACACCATAAACTCTTGGTCGGATTGGAGCCTATATAAAGGTTCTACTCCACATGAACAAGACACACTTGCATAAAGCACTCTTCTCTCATTCTCTCGAGTTCTTTCTCTTCTGTTTTTGAGTCTCTCTTGTGTTTTTAGTTCCGGTTTTGGTGATAGAGGGAAGGTTCGAGTTCGAGTTCACCGGACGGTTTCGATAGTGCATCGAGCTACCGTCGTTGTCGTTGTATCCTGGGAGACGGACGTCCAACGTTGCCTTAAGCACTCACCGGAGGGGACAAATATGTTTTAAGGAAAACGTGGTTCACGTGCCTCGACATTCATACAGTTCCAATTTTCCGAATTCCATAGAAAGGTTGATTTCGGGTTGTAACAAGTTCATTATTTTGTTCTTCCATAAGTTGATATCCTTCTTTGTATTATCTATATATTTCGGCTAACAGATACCATGTTAGATTACCAATCCATCCTAAAAGCTGAAGCTATTAGGAGGTGGGCCAAAAATAGTTTTATACTTTAACACTCCTATCCTCCCCTAACAAGCCGGTTTTGTTAGGTTGAGTTAGGCCCAATATCCTTTGATTTCTGTAAAATGGTATCAGAGCAGGCTCAATTTTATAATGTTGGGTCCCCCAATATCGACTTATTCGTAGCGGTTTGGCATGGTCCACGCTGTGCGTGAGGGGGCGTATTAGAATACCACATTGACCGGAGATATTAGTATAATCTACTTAATAAGGCGAGGACAATTATCTCCTAACACCTTTGATTTCTGTAAAATTACTCATTGCTTTCACGATCTTTGCAGTCGAACCCCTTTTCAGCGTTCCTTATTTTTCTTAATTAACTAAAACAAGCAACTTTCCACTTCATGGTAGAATCCTCATATAACTTATAAATTTCTATATGTGAAAAACAATGCGAATTTTAGAACAAGAGATTTGGTCTAAGCAGTGTATGAGAGCAAGAGCCCCACGTTTTTGGTAAAATATTTGTAGTAGCTAGTAATATTACTAATTAGCTAGCTTTCAGATTCCACCTAATAATGCATCCAGAAAATTCTTTTGCTTTTGTTTATTTATTTATTCTTTTGCAAAACAACAGTTTCTGTGGTGGCCTAATTGATATATGACGTTATTCCCCAAAAAAAAAAAAATCCTTCTCAGCTTCCACTGGAAAATAGAGTCCTGTGGTGGGTAATTAGGAGCTAGCTTGTTCTGTATTTTGCATCATATGAAGGATCAAGGAAGTGTATCCTGTTGGCTTATCATCAACATGATTTTGTGTTCCTCTACAGCTGCGTGTAACAAGAAAATAAGAGGGGTTTAAGAATGTGTATGTGAAAAGTAAAATGAGATTGATTTAATTATAGAGATTTTTTTTTTAAATTTTAAAAGGTGTGTAACAAATAAAAAGACAGATAGTTTACGAATGTGTGTATTAAAAATAGAATAGGGGTGTCAATAGGACGTCCCCAAATTTATAATGTTTAAAGTTTAAATTTTGTGTTTCACTTTTTATACTTTTTTGTGGATTAATTACTTCTCTCCTTTTTTCAGTATATGAGGATAAAAATGTCTTTACATATGTGAAGACAATAATTTTGTAAATAGATAAAAAAAAAAATAAGTATTTTTAGACTCAAAGTGCACATAATAAGTATTTAAGGTCATTTTGATAAATATATTTTGAAAGTGCATGATCGTAATTTTTATTATTTAATTTTAATTTATAATTTTTTTAATTTAATAATTATACTAATAAAAAAATATTTATTAAAAATAAGAGATAAATAATTAAATTCATGCAGTCTCAAAATAAATTTTTTTATTTTTTAAGTATATTTTATTGTTATTTATGTAAATAACCCAAATCTTAATCAACATACGGCGCTTAGTTTTTTTTTCCTTTTCTTATTTTTTTAAAAATTTCTGGAAAGTGGAAACAATAGACATCATAATAGACAATAAAATAAAATAAATAAGAAATAAGGAGAGATGAGAAAAACATCCCTTATAATTACTCCCCAAAAAAAAAAAAAACACTTTAATATTTGGGATTTCTCATCACTGCAAGAACCGCGAATTTCAACAAAGAAAGAAAACAATCACAAACTCATAAAAATTTCCTGAACACCCTTTTCTTCACCAACTTGAAAATCGCCAAATTCACGTTTATATGAAAATCTCTCCTTTTTCAGCAACAAAAATATTATAAAAAATCTCTCCCATTTTCCATTTCATTTTCCGTGAATAACTTTTTGTTGGGTCTCTCTTTCTTGTACGTTTCAAGGGTTTAATTTCGATTATTTCATTGAAGAACAGAGACATTGTTCTCCCAAAAACCCTAGAAATTTTGGGATCCAATTCCGATCGATTTGAAATTTTCTTTTCTTTTCTCGGGTTCTCATTCAATTTGCTCTTTCTTCGGTCAGAAAACCCCCAAATTTTCTTCCTTTTTCGAATTTGCCGAGCATTGAATATGATTTTTCTTCTCCAATATGGATTTCCTTAGATGGGACGCGAGTTTCTAGGGTTTTGGAGGAGCTCTGGTTACATCAATGGGAGCCCTAACGAGCAACCGTAAGCGCGGCGATGAGTTCTTGAATTTGAACCACGGGAATTTCTCTCCGAATTTTCAGAGCTCTTCGAAGAGAGCCAGATTCTCATCTATGCAGAAGAGTAGCAACCCCGACCGAGCCGTTTTGTCGTCGAAAAGCGCGGTCGCTAGGGTTTCCAGGTATCCGGAGGCGAAACCCCCATTGCCGAGAGTTCATGCCCCTTGTAGAACGCTCAAATTCGGGTACAATTCGGCGGTTTCGCAACGAGATTCGAGTCTGAAAATCCGGAAAAAGGAGGAGTATAACGATACTATGGGGAATTTCTTAGCCTCCCAGTACCACAAGGCGAAGAATTGCGCTTTGGAGGCGTGCCGGGTTTTGCAGAAGGAGAAGGAGGTGATTGAATTGGATAAAGAGGTTGATGAAGAAAATGCGGTGTCCGAAGATTCGAGCATTGAGGAAGTCGAGGTTATAGAGGATGACGAGCGTGAGGCTGGTAGGGCTTTTGTGCCGAATGCAAAAGTGTTGGATGGCGTTAATCTGCCGTCGTCGTCTTCGGCGGTTTCGGACTTGTCCAACGCCATTCTGAAAGTGGAGAACTTCTCGCTTAGTGGCGAGAAGGATTTTTCTAGTGTTTCTGCGTACAAGAAGTTACTCAGTTTTGTGGATAGAAGAACATCTAGATTGAGACAGTTGAGTTTCGACATCGAATTGAATGAGAAGCGCCGGTTCGCACTTCAAAGCCTGCGTCCTAAAACGGAACCAGTCCAGGTGATGCTTTTGTATATGTGCATATGTATATATCTAGGATGCAAATTTTGTGCTTTTGATCTTAAGTCCTGGAATTTCATGTTTTGACTAGTTAGTTTAATGCCATTTCCAGTGGCGGAGCCAGCCGTGGGGGCGGGGCGGGATAGTACTAATTATTTTTCAAACATAAATGACCATAAAAATATATAAAAAAAATAAAGTACAATATTTTTCAAGAACTACCAAAGATATGTAGAGATTTTACTATATGGGAAAAAAAAATACCAATAGGGTTGTCTTGAAACATCGAATTTGTGTATAAAAAAAAAAAAAATTCTTGTTTTGCATACTTTGTACTTTAATTTAATTTTGATCAGATTGACAAGGATACTCCACCATAAAAGTTTTTTTTTATTTTTTTATTTTTCATCTTTATACGTTGCATTTTGAGATTATAAAAAAATAATACCTTATATTTTGCAATTTATCATATTTTTACTTTCAGATTTCAAACTGATATACAATTCTTACATTTCGTCGGCTGTCACAGGTCAATTTTGATCATAAAAAAAGATCTAAATGCCCTCAATAAATTAAAAGAATAAGGAAAAAATTGTAAAATATGAGGATATTTTGGATCTTTTTCACAGTCAAGATCAACTTTCAACTGAAAAATGTGCAAGTATTTAACATAATTTGAAATGTGAAGGTATTAATTTGATACAAATTGAAATATAAAGTAGAGGTTTTATTAGAACCTTAAAATGCAGGTATATAGAGCTCACGTATATAAATCATAAAGCATATTACAATAGCTCATGAGTAAAGGAGTAAAGTTGTTCATAGAAAAATTTAAAATAATAATAAAAAAAGAGTAAATTTCAATGGGTACATCTATGAAAATTTTTAATCTCAGTGGGGGCAAAAACTAAAAATTAAGATTTTGGGGGGCTAAATTTATTTTGGAAAAAAATCAGTGAGGGCGGCAGCCCCCACTCATCCCTTAATAGATCCGCCACTGGCCATTTTGTATATATTTATCTAGGACCAGTTTAATCATTAATGCCATTTTGTATATGTACATGTGTATTTATCTAGGGGCAGTTTTTGTGCTTTTGATGTTAAGTACCTGGAAATGGAAGTTCTTGTTTTGAAAGTTTAGTTTAATGTCGTTTTAGGAAGTCCCACGGGAACCCTTTATCCCTCTTACGGAGGAGGAAGAAACGGAGGTTAAGCGAGCATTTTCGGCGAATCGGTATTGTTTTGATGCTTATATTGTTTTTTATTTTTTTTTTCCCGAAAATGAAAAGCAATTTCTTGGTAGGGTAACAATATTGGGATTTTTATTTCTATAGGAGGAAGGTCTTGGTTGCTCACGAGAACTCAAATATTGAGATTACTGGTCAACTTTTGCAATGCCTTAGACCAGGCGCCTGGTTGAATGATGAGGTGAACTTCTTAGTTAATTTGATCTTTTTATTATTAATGATAGTGACAAGGGTCTCTTTAGTCTAAGACTTCACTGTGTTTGACTGTTGAGCTGGTATCTTAACTTTTTTGTTGCATATGAACTTTCTACTTTTTTAGGTTATTAACGTCTACCTTGAATTGCTGAAAGAGCGGGAGAAGAGAGATCCAAAGAAGTTTCTGAAATGCCATTTCTTCAACACATTTTTCTACAAGAAAGTCTGTTACTTGCGTCTTACATTCTCCATTCTTTGTTTCTATTTACATCTTAGGCTTCTTAGCAGTTTAGTTAATTTAAGGAATTCATTCTCTGCCTTTTTGATCTTGCTCTGAGTACAAGTTCTGGTAGTGTTAACTTTTCTGCCTTTTCTAATTTCTACTGATAACCTTAATTGAAATGTTCTTTTCTTTTCTTTTTTTTCCAGTTAATAAGTGGAAATGGCTATGATTATAAATCTGTCAGAAGATGGACTACTCAGAGGAAGTTGGGATATGGCCTCATCGACTGTGACAAAGTAGATAGAACTCTTTTTGTATTAGTTTATTTTGGTTGATGATAGAAACGTTTTTAAACTGATCTTCTTACTTTCTCAGATTTTTGTCCCTGTCCACAAAGAGATACATTGGTGCTTGGCAGTCATCAATAAGAAAGAAGAGAAATTCCAGTATCTTGATTCACTCAAAGGAAGAGATACTCAAGTGATGAAAGTATTGGTAGGTTTCCTGGTCTTGTATCGTTTGAGTGGTTCATTTGTTTAAAAACTAATAATAATAATAATAATAATAATAATAATAATAATGATGATGATGATGATGATGATGATAATAATAATAATAAACAAAAAAAATTTTGAAGGATCCTCGGGAATTGGTCCACGTAACCTTCTACTTTAGAGGGGGTGGTAAAATTGATAAACAAAAAATTCGGAAGGATTCTCGAGAATTGGTCCAGGTAACCTTCTACTTTAGAGGGGGTAGTAAAATTGTTTAACGGAGATTTTCTGTGTGCAATGGATAAAATTCATCTTCCTCCCACTATTAATTTTCTTTTCTTTGCTTGATCACATATTGACCATAGAGAATATAGTTGGGTTTCACTTGATTAACCATTAATGTAGAACCCCATCCCTCACTCTTCTTGCTATGAGATTTTGTAGGTTTTACTGTTTTAGGATAGAATTAAAATTACAAATTATCTATTGTTGTTATATTGTATCTGCTGCTTAAAACATGTTCTATTTTTGAAACTTGCAAGCTGAGTTTCTGGATGTGCAGTCAGTCATTGGTTACTGCTTCTGTGCATTTATTGCATTTCAGTGACTCCCCTTTTTCATGGGTACTTCTGTAATAGTGTAATGATCTGAAGATTAACAACTTCATCTTTTGCTTCTCAATGTTTATTGCTGTCATGTCCCAGCCGAGATACTACGTAGATGAAGTGAAGGATAAGAGTGGTAAAGTTATCGACATAAGTTCTTGGAAACATGAATTTGTTGACGACCTTCCTGAGCAAGAGAATGGGTAAGCTATCCCTTACTGACCATTCCTCTTATTTATTTCAAATTTCCCATACCACTATATATTATTTTGTGGTTTCTGGCATAGTACAAGTGAAGGGACTTCGACTGCAGAATATTCTTTCTGATCTCTGAAGGAATTTTTTAACTCTACTTTCTATTAACAGGTTTGATTGTGGTGTGTTCATGATCAAATATGCCGACTTTTACAGCAGAGGTTTGGGGCTTTGTTTCGGCCAGGTAATCCCTTAATTTGAAGTGCTTAACTAGCCTTTCACTAGTTGGACCATTGAAGATTTGAATCATTACACTGATTTGTTTTTCTTGATCCTTGTAGGAACACATGCCTTATTTTCGGTTGAGAACAGCAAAGGAGATCCTAAGACTAAGAGCCGATTAGTTAAATTCATGCCCATGGTATCCGTTAAGAATTTGCAAACCCAGCAAGCAATTGTTTTGTGTGTTGGAATATGAATTGTGAAATTAATTTCCCTAGACCTGTTCAACAAGACGATTGCCTGCAACCTCGTCGAAAGTCAATTTTTTCCATCCTGGTTGCTCGTCAGTGTAAGATTCACAGGGCGATTCGCACTTGCCAGGCAGGAATTGCAGTGTTACTACATACCATCTGCATAGCCTTGAGTTGTTTAACGGTTTTGAAGGATCCTTTTTATTTTCCTTTTCCCAGATGGTTTTTACCTGTTTCATCTTTTGCCTCTTGTGAGTATTGGAATCTATTCTTTTTTTTTTTTTTTGGTGGCTTGAATTGTGACCGAATCCTGGAATCCAATTAGCAATTGTAGTGTAAAGAAATGAGTAAGAGTAACAGCCGTTGTTTCCTATGCTTTCAGAGAAAAAAAATTTACATTTGTATACGTAATGAACCATAATTTCTCATTAGGATTCGCAATTTCTTATGCAATATTTGCTTAATTGCTTAATTTCATACGTATCCGTGATAAAACCACCATAATCCTCATTCCGTGATATCCTTGCTCAATTGCTTCAAATTCTCTTGCTATAATGTTAAATAGCCTGTGGTAATAAACACAATTAATTTTAATGCATGTATTACATAAACAGAAAATGTGTGCTAAAGTCGAGCTTCAACGGTTGTTAAAATGATCAGGAGAGAATTGGAATATTACCGGTCAAATCCTTCAAAAAAATATGTTAAATTGTTACGCTTTGCTATCACACAAATAGAATTGCCATTAAAGCAGTGATAATATTGTCGTTTCTTCTGACAAATTGATATCAACTTTATAATCAACCTTCACGTTGCATACAAAATATGAGATAAAAGGTTAGGAAGAGTAGGTCCATGTAAAAGCAAATCTATTGAATTTCTTTTCTTTCCTAACAAGTAAAAACATATGAATTCAAATTCCCAGTCAGCATTAAACAACAGCCACAGTACACAACCCCATCAAACTTGGCAAGAACACATCAGACTTATCTTTTTAAGAAAATACAAAGGAATTACAACAATCACTAACAAGAGACATGAACACTCGTTGCGGTTTGTCTAAGCCAGAAAGCCTGGATGTGAACAGCCGAGCCGAAGTCCGCATCCTCTTCTCCCGAATCCAAGATGACTACTGCTTGTAACTGTGCAAAGGAGATATAGAAGAGAAAATGAGTGAAAAACAGCAGCGACCACGATTCAAAATTTAAATCACCAGAAGAACACATTTTCAGGAAGAAAACATAAAATGCATGGGATAAGAAAGAGAAATTACAAGACAGGATATGGAGCCATCAGTATAACAGATTACACAGTCGTCGTCTCAGCGAGGTACTCTTTTTCGACTTAGTATCTCCTGCTCTTTCAGTCTATGCTGAAACCTTGCAAGCCGAGCTTGAAGACTGACCAGACCAGCGGCTTTACGGGAGAGCACAAAGCTCAATTGGGTCATGTAGTTGTCAATGAGGCTTCCTGGCTGGTCCACTTCCGCTAATAGCTTCATTTCCTGATGACCAGGAACCACAGAAAATAAGCTCCATATAACAAGTTTGATATGGTATAAGTGCTTAAGGTTTCAAATCAAATGTGCTTGAGGTATCAAATCAAATAAAGATGAGTCCATAGGAGATCCATGTGCAGACACTTGGCTGAGATTTGATGGGCAACTAGTAAAAACTAAATGAAAAAAATCGAAAAGAATTTAACAATACTTTGCTATGTAGATAAGGAACATTAACTCGAAATCCACAAAACACTTATTCTTAAGAATGAAATCGTTTAACTTACTTCCCGAACAATCTCCATTGTATCCTCAATCTCTTTTCTGTGAGCAGCAATCAAGGCCTCTTCTTCCTATAATGATCCAAATTAACTTAAGATGATAAACAAAAGGTAAAGAGAAACTTCAAATACATACACAGCAACAACAATAATGATTGTCATGCAAGTACCACATCAAAATCTAACCTCAAGTATTGCATTTATGTTCTCATCAGGAACTTCAGGCTCATATTGTCTGGATCCAGCATTAGCTGAGTTATAATTGCTAGTATTATGCTGCTTACTACTTGTGGTAGAGAGATCTGATCCACCAGTTTCTTTTTTCAGCCAGTTACCAAACTTTTCTGATTTTTCATCCTTGGATATTTTTCTATGAGGTGGTGACACCTTTTGCACTTTTTCTTCCGTTTCAACCGAGTTTTGGGAATAAGAATACATTTTTTGGCTATTAGAATTAGCATAAGAACTTTTCATTTCAGACCGCTCCCTATCCATTGTGACAGAAGCCATCCCTCTTTCCTCCCTCCCATTGAGAGGATAGCTGGGTATTAAACTTCCAGACTGCTTGTCAAAATCAGCACTAGAATTGTGTGAGGAGTTATCCTTTTCCATAACCCTTCTTCCTGTATCTGCTACTTTCACCTCTTGACGTTGCTCATAAACATCTTCTACATCAGTAGAAGTCAGCTGAGACGAAGCTGATGAAGCATCTTTATTAGTTGGTGGTAAATTTACAGCTGGATCCTTTTTAGGATTACCACTTTTGGAGAGACTCTTTACCCTGTTCAAGGAATCATACTGCTGACATTAAATATGTTTCTTTTTGAGGGAGCAAAAAATAACACTTCAGAAGCCAACAACAGAAAACTGCAGTTGTAGTACCTATCTGCATATCTCAAGGTATTGAGTGTGTGTTCGCATGACCCTGCATTTGGCGAAATGCAAGAGATCATTACCGTCCTTGAATTTCCAACAAAGGAGTCACGAAGCACTTCAGTGAGTTTGCTTCCACGAAATGGTATATGTATCTGATCATTGTCCAGAGCACGAATGCACTCTTTAAGAGCCAAAAGACTCTTGTTGATTTCTGCTCCCTCAATTCTACAATGAATCAAATCAATCAACAATTCAGAATAATGCAGAAAACCGGGCAACAGTATGAGCTTGACAACTAAAAATGCTTTGGATTGTATAATCAGAGCACCATTCAGTCATTTGAGCAACTGCCCAGATGCTGAAGGCACAAGCCAAAAAGATTATATATTTATGAGAAAATTGATAGCCAAATAAAAAATGCCTAATATTGGAGAAGCAGAGAAAGGTAAAAACTCGTGTATATAAGCGAATTACCTAGTTTGCCGATCATTATCAGTGGTGTCAGCACCTCTTTCACTACCAGCAAGATCAATGAAAGAGATCTTCCCCACAACTCTTCCACTTTTAGAATCGTTTTCATCAATTTTCCTCCTGGAATCTTTGACTTCAACATGCTTTTTAACAGCAAGCTGCAAAATAGCATGTGACCTCGAAGACTCCTCATTGGCACCAGTGGACCCAGTACTTCTAGCAGCATTACCCCTCTCAATATATTCTTTAACTATCTGTACATCTGAAACTTCAAATTCTTGCAAGCCAACAATGCATACTTGTTGTCTTCCATCTTCTCTCATACAAAGTTTCCTATTAGAAAACAATGAACTCAAGTCAATTTAATGTCTTGGACACTCCGCAGAAGCATATGTCCATTACAAACAAATATGTGTGCATGTAAACGTTTCTGCATTTACCGCGAAAGTTCTCATAATAAGTAGCTGTGTTCTTGTAAAACCAAACATAACACAACCAGCAGAATGGCTTATGTTCACATGCTCACATATGATAATGAGACCATTCCAAGTAGCTTAACATAAGATCAAAATCCCGCAGGTAAAATAATCGAAATAGTTGGGGCCTTTCTAAATTATCAAAAAGCCATGGGTTCAACAACCCCACTCATTTGCAAGATAAACAGCCAAACAATGCAGAAAAAGTAAAAGTTGACAATTGAAAGGGAGGAAAAACAAAAAACAAAAGCAACAACAACAACACAAATCCTTTGCCCGGACAACTATAACACACACACAGATCCAATCATACACCATGGTTCTTAGGACAGAAGAATCAACTTTTAGAACAGAACAAAGTAGCAGTGATTAAACATTAAAAACATTAACTTGAAAACGAAAGAGATATACTTACTTTCTATCACTGAGAAGATCATATAGCTTTCCACCATATATCTCAAAGTAGCTAAGCCACAATTTGAATCTCTGATTACGATAGACTGGTTGATGCAACAATCTCACAAGGTCTTCTGAAGCTCTGAGAGGTAATGGTTGCATTGTATATGTCTTGCCACTGCCTGTCGTCAAAATGTTATTAGGAACTGAATTATTCACACCACATACTAAAAAAAGTCTAGCTTGAGACAAGCAGCCAGCAAGAACTTGAAAACAGAAGAGACTAGTTTAGGGATAATGAAGTTAGAGATCACAGTGGCTCAACCTAGTTTTTGCTTAAGAAAAGAGGTTTCATAGAGTGATCGATACAGAGATAAAAGGCAAAAAAGATATTACCTGTCTGACCATAAGCAAAACACGTAGCTTTTGTTCGTTCAAAAATGGTAGGTATAATTGGTTGAACAGTAACTCGATATACCTGTTCAAATAAGCATCCAAAGCAATCATGCATCAACTTTTCTAACTAACAAATAATCAACGAGGACAGACGACTTCACAGCAAGAAAATACAAGAACACCAAGACCAACATGAAACAACAAAAATAACTAAGATTACTTATGAGCGTGTATCAAAACAATGCCAAGTAGAAACTTAATCTGAAATGTAGAGCTGCTACCTCATCGTTGGAGACATGTTCGTTGAGAACAGCATCAAAACAAAACTCATGCTTCTCCACATAAGCAGTCAAGTCCACCTATGATATCATGGAAGGAGATTGTATCATACAATATACAAATGCATATCAGAGAAAATACAAGATGTAGACATTACGTCAGAACCACTTCAATCAGAAACATAAACTCTGCTAAACATTTAGGGGGTGTTTGGTATGAGGATTTATGCTATGGTTCGAATCATGATTCGTGACTCGCTACAATGCTTTTTCTCACAAAAAAACACAAGTAAACCGAAAATGGTTCTGAATCCATGAACCAAACGTCCACTTAGAGTAACAACAGTTGCTCTAGAAAGTACTACCTTTAGTTTGGGTTCATGCACAGCCACATAAGCATCGTCATATACAGTGACAATATCCTCCTCCTTCCGAGAAAGCTCCTTCTTGTTTAAAGGTCTTTTGCGTACCTACAACATGCAAATAAAGTGTATGAATATTACAGACCTCTACAAGTATCAAATTATTGCCAATAAAAAATAATTTAAAAAAATAGAAATGGCTCTATTTGCAACTGTGCTATGTCTTCTGAATGTTTGAGTCATAATCAATAACATACCACAACTTTAATCTTAGCCACATTATTTTCCCTTGGGATCTCTTTTCCATTTGTAGGATATGAAACAGATGCATCTGCATCTGGCTGCCCTCTTTGCTGATCCCCACTTACAACATTCAAATCATTGTCAAATCCTCTAGTGCCACTAGGTATGAATGGTGAAGGCTCAAAAGGTTCTGACATAACGTGCTGGAGATGTAAACAAAGGAGTAAAGAGCCATTCCTCATTTGCAAAATATATATATATATAGAAAAATATCCACAAAAACAGAACACCAATTCCATCCATTTAATTAAAACAAATTTCATACTGTCACGCAGAATATAAACTTTCTTGAATCATCAAAACACAAGGCATCCTTCATTCATTTCCAAGCATCATAAAAAATACACGAACCTGCCCCTCACACAACAAAACTGAACTTTTTTCCTAACAGCCATTTTCAACAAGCAATTCACAAATCCAATTCTGATCAAAGTCGGTAACTTTCCTAAGAAGATGGATGTAAAACCTTACAAGAAAATCATACCTCAGATAAAAGTTCTGTATCATCCATAGCATGAAGGTCCAACAGCCCAGCTCCAAAATCCCCTCTAAAATCCGGAGAATAAAACCCATCTGAAGCAGCCACTCCACTTGAACTTTGGACAGTAGGTGCATATGGCTCAGACCCCGATTCTCCATTGAAATTGAGGTTTCTCATTAACTTGAAAATCCTCTGTTTCTCTTCAGCAGACTGTGCTCCATAATCCTTTTAACAAAATCGAATGCATAGTTATTGTGGACTCCGAAATATTAATTCTACTTGTTAAGATGGAGAAAATAGAGAAAGAAGTCAAAATCTCAACAAGCCAAATGACCTACGCAATGTTCAAACATACCAATGCAGTACTATTTATGGTATTAATTGAAAGTGATTAAATTACCGATACTTCAGCTCAGAAAAATAACATACAAGATAAATAAAAATAAAAGAACCCACACACACACGCATTGGGGGAAAACGCTCAAAGCCAAAAGGTTAAGACTTCGGATTATGATAAACCTAAAATTAAACATAAACATTCCTATATTGGTTAGATTCCTGAACAAAATTTTGAAAAATAAGAACAACCATGAACATATATTTGCCTAAACCAATTGCATGTTATAGACAGTTCCATGTACTAAAATTGAACACATGGTAGTAAAACTTGAATACCTGCATTAGAAGGCTTGGAAGGAGGCGATTGTCGATGCCAGTGGAAGCCATGGGAGAGGCCAGATGCTGCAGTCCGGCGGACTGGAGCCAGCGCGCCATGACCGCGTCGCCGGCATCGCCAGCGGACCCTGCATTGTGCAGAGAGCCGGCGGCTGCGTGATCATACAGAGCAGTCGCCGCGGCGGCATTGCTCTGCTGCATCTGGCCGCCCATGTGGCGCTGCGAACGTCTTTGGGGAGCCAATTTTCAAGATCTATATACCAACAACCACTTCACAAACACACGACAAAAAAATTTCACAAAATCAAAAAAAAAAAAAAATCGTAGTACATCGTATTCTTCAGTTCCACAATTTCTCAGAGAAACGAAAATCATCGATCTAAACAAACTGTTACTCACAATGTGGTGAAAAGTTGAATTCGAAACAGGACATGAAGATGAAAAAAAACTCGGAAATCGATTCAACGCTTTCAGAATCTGCACCACCACCAAAAAAAAAATCAAATCATGTTTCAGAATTTCAACGCCAACCTCAATCGATCGATCAAAAAAATTCCAAAAATTTCTAAGGAAAAAAAAATCACGATCCGACGTACAGGAATGCGGCAAATCAAAATACGGAGAACATAAATGATCGAGATCTGCAGAAAATCGGAATCGCGGTCAGATCCGAAACCAGAAGATGAAGCAAAACCCTAAAATGATCTTGCGAGAAACGAAAATGGCGTTCGAATGTTCTCGCTCTATTTCGATGGCGATGATGGTTGGTTTGGGCTCCACGGGAGGAGAGTATACGCCTCTTCTCATATAATAAAAAAAAAAAAAAACCTTTGTTTTTATTGTAAGAAAATCCTTTTAAGATATTATATATATATCCATCAAATGTACATGTCAGTATGGAGTCTTTTTTTTTTAAATCTTTTTTAGGAAATACATGATTACATGTCAACTGTATTTTTGCTCTATAAAAATTCAAATATTAGGCTTAAAAAATAAGGACTTGTTTGGTTCAATAATTTAAATTATGGAGATTTGAATCTTTTTTATTAAAATTATAGAATTTGAATTATGGTAATTTAAATTGTGATCTAAATTATTGTTTAGATATGAAAAAAATTGTAATTTGAATTGAGAATAAAATTTAAATTGTGCTTAGATAAAGTATTAAAAGCTGTCATTAGAGTTTTGTAACAAATTTTATAAAATCTCATTACAAATGACATTAAAAAATATGCAAGCTGGGTGGAGATTTTTTCTTTTTTTTATTATGAACACATTAAGAAAAAATCATCTCAATCGAAATTAAAATGAATAAATTATTATATTTTTAAGATTAAAATTAAAAAGAGAAAGTAAAATCTGAAACTATTAGACTGTTAATAACAATTCAAATTATTAAAATTTAAAGGTGTAGTGAATTCTAAAATTAATAATTTAAATTATTCTTGAATCATTATTAATAATTTAAATTATCTTTAAATTTTCCTCTCCTAAATACTAATTTAAATCTTGAATTAAGATTTGAATTCTAAATCAGCAGGCTCAATAGGTTGAGAACGGCCGATTTTTAATTTCCAGGAATGACTAATTTCGCCTTGTCTTTGTTGCGAATTTTCACGTGTGTGGCGGAAAGGCGCTTTGGTTCAAGACAATTGGAGGAACGGAAAAGGCAAGACAGCAAGGGCGTGTTTGTTTGCTAGCACTTTTTGTCTTTCAATTTTTCTTTTCTTTGTTTTTATTTTTTATTTTTTATTTTGGGGTAAAATACGATTGGATCATGTCTGATTACTTTTTTTTTTTTGCTTGGAAGTGTAATTAGTTAAGGCCTATTTAGTTTATGGGTTTTAACAGAATTTAAATCAACTATTTTAATTATGACTTTTAAAATTTTAATTTTTGGGAGAAAAAAATATTATAGCATAATTAAAATATAGATTTGAACTCATGAAAAACTCAGGAAACAAACATATTCTTATTCCACTAAAACTGTTAGAGTTAGTTAGATCGATAAATTGTGTTTATATTCTTTAAAAAAAAAAAAAAGCAGTTTAAACTCCATGGCAAATACTATAATTTTTGAGCTTTTGTTGGGCATTCACACTTCATTTTGGATTTACAAAATTTAAGAAGGAAAGGAAGGACTATTGAGGGCTTATTTAGTTCAACAATTTAAACCGTGGAGATTTGAACATTTTTAGTTAGAACTACAGAATTTAAATTGTAGTGATTTAAACTGTAATCCGATCTGTTATTTTGATATGTAAATAAATTGTAATTTGAATTGGGAATACAATATGAACTGTATTTAGATAAAGTGTTAAAAATTGTCATTAGAGTTTTGTAATTAATCTTATTAAACCTCATTATAAATGACATTAAAAATATGTAATATTGGTGGGGATTTGTTCATCTCTTTATTATGAACACATTAAAAAATCATCTCAATTAGAATTAAAACAAAAAAATTATGACATTTTTAAGATTAAAATTGAAGAGAGAAAAAAATAAAATCTGAGACTGTTAGACTGTTGACAACAATTTAGATTGTTAGAATTTAGAGGTGAGATGAATTTTAAAATCAACCGTTTAAATTACCTTTAAACCATTATTAATAGTTTGAATTGTTCTTAAATTTTCCTCTTTCAAATATCAATTTAAATCCTAAACAATAGTTTGTTGTTGAAACAAAAAAGAGTTGAGTTCATCGTGGTCGGTAACAAACTGGGTATGACAGAAGAAAAAGACACGTCTAATGTCTTCATTACGCACAAGTCAACCTTAATTACCATATCCCATTTGGGATATCTTGCATTTCCCAATTTTGACTGAAATCATTTTTTTTTTTTTTTACAAATCCTAATATAACATTAATCAACACTCTACGTAGCTTAGGAAATAATATCCCACCGAATAGCTCTGTTTTACATCTGTATCAATTCTTGTGAGTCTATAAACTATTTATTTGGATGTAATTTCGACGGATTTAATGTTCAAAAACATATAAATACATATCCACCTATGACTCTACCATAAAAAATCCTAACTAATTAAATAATTAAACAAAAATTACCACCTTGATTAAGTTCTTTTGTAAAAGCACCCCAGTCAAATTAATACAAGTAAATAGGGTCATTATATAATAGAGTTATATATAGATACGCTTTGGATTCTGTACGTAGTTGCTAAGAGAAAAATATAGGTCGTGTTTAGAATTGATCTTATTTTTGTTTTTTACAGTTCTCGAAAAAGAAAAAATGAAAACGTTTTCAAAACGGCGTTTTGCGCAATAAAGACAAAAAATGAAAATGAAAACGATTTTTTGATTTAGTGTCAAATGAGAGAGAAATAAAAAAATGACTTTTAGTCGTTTTTCATTTTTTATTTTCGTTTTTTCCTCTCTCGAGCAGAGAGAGAGAGAAAGAGAGACATTAATGAGTTTTTTTTACACTAAAAATAATCTATTGATAAAATTACTAAACACATTTTTAAAAATAATTTCTGTCTGAGATTGAAAATATTTTCATTTTTATTTTTATACAAAAAATAAAATATTTTTAAAATGAGTTCCAAACGCGCCAAGAATTTTTGCCGTTTTGCCCGTTTATTGGCTCTGAAAATTATGGTGAGCAAAGAACTCAACACTCTTGTGTTGGAATAATCACAAACACGTACAAGTAATATGTAAGTTTTGGATAATAGTTAGATACTAGCAGCTTCTTTGTGCATGATTTGCATGTGTTTTTGGTCCATTTTGCTCCAAATTACGATATATATAATAAATTATAATGCATGAATTTACTTCATTATCGGTGTAACCCTTTAAATTTCAATAGATAAATAGCAAGTGGACCACATGCGTCGATCACTATAACGTAAAAGCAAGTTTAATCCATATTCTTTAAAATGCTACACGATAGCTATACAATTAACAATATGGTATCCGATACTCAAAAAATTGACAAAAATATGGTATGACAAGTTTGTATTAAGTGGTCTTTTGTGCGTGATTAATAGTGATAATTCAACTCAAAACTTTATTGTTGAAGATCTAAACATGTCAATGATGGGAAAGTTCATAATTAATAAAGGGTTTGATGGGATGGTGTGAATCAATTAAATTAAGTTTGAGACAATATTTAGTTTCGAAAATTAAAGATGGAATAGGGCATGGGGTTTCGAGCATAACTTCTTTGTACTGACTGACATTTGTCTACCAAGTGGTCCAAAATCTTGTTGAATGATGGAAAATAATAGCTAAGTGATTAGTAAATTATAACATATTTTTTAAAAATAATAAATTATAGTATAATTTGCTATTTTAAATTTTAAATATTATTAAAAATTTAAAAGTATCCTTAAACCCCTTTTTCTACTACACTCTTCTCTTCAAAACATTTATTTTTTTTAAAAACAGTAGGTAGATTATAGTCAAGTTTACCATGACCAAGACCGGCGGCTGGCTTTGGCGATCAGAGACCATTTTTTGGTAATCTGTGACCTTTTTTCAGCGACCAGTGACCGTTTTTTGGTGATCGTTTAACACTGTATTTACTGATAAATATCGTATTTATCATTTAATATTGTATTTACTAGTAAATAATATATTTATCCAAAAAGCTGACCACCAGCTCCAGCGACCGTTTAATGTTGTATTTACAAGTAAATATCGTATATACCAATAAATATCGTATTTACTAGTAAATATCATATTTACCTGAAAATCTAGCCACTGACTTCGGTGGCCGTTTAACACTGTATTTACCAGCAAATATCGCATTTATTAGTAAACATCATATTTATTCGAGAATTTGGGCACCAATTCCGGCGATATTTTAGTAAATACAGTATTTACGGGTAAATATCATATTTATCTGATAATTTTTTCAGAGACTCCAGCGACCATTTAACATTGTATTTACTGGAAAATAACGTATTTACTTATAAATACAGTATTTACTATATTAATCTGAAAATTCGATGACCAGCTTCGACGATTGGTAAATATAAATATGGTAAATACAGTATTTAGCATATTCAAAATTTTCTACAAATTAATTAATATTACAAATTGATCCTAAAAAATCCCCAAATCTGTACAAGAAAAAAATCCTAACCCTAATCCTCAAATCAACCCCAAATTTTATTCCTAAACCCTAGCCCCAACCTATGCCAAAATAACCTAAAATTTCCACCACCAGCCCACCCATTCCCGGGGAACCCACCCTATCCTGACACCTGGCGGCCACACCTGCAACAAAAATCAACAAATCATAACAACATCAGCGCCTGACGTCGGAGAAGCCTCGCAACGGCGAGTCCCGATCTCTACAACTTCTTCTCCTCATCGGCTTCTTCGTCTTCACTCATGAGATCCGAGATCGGCGACATCAGAGCCAAGATCAAGAACTCCGACGAGCACATCAGTTTCCTCTTCACTCCCTCCGGCTGAAACCCTAACCAAAAATCACGAAGAGAAAATCTCGAACACAAATCACGAAGAGAAATTGTGAGAGAATCGCGACCAGAAATCCTGAAGAGAACCGAGACAGGAATCGCGAAGAGAGAGAGAGAGAAACGACGCCGGTGATTCCCTCACGCGGTGGCTATCGTCGGTCATCGACAGTCGGCATCGTCGCTGGTCGTAGCTGCATCTTATTTATACAGATAGAGAAAGAGAGCAGAGAGAAAGAGGCCGGAGAGAGAGAGAGAGAGAGAGAGAGAGAGAGTTTTGGGAAAGTAATTTGAGAAATAACTATAAAAAAAAAAAAAAACATTGTGGGTAAAATTAGAAATGAATAATTTATTTCAAAATGAATAAGAGAGATATGCTATAATTTATCAATATTTAAAGATATGCTATTTATTTAAAAAAAAAAAGTAAAAAAATGCTATATAGTGTATTTTCCAATATATATATATATATATATTGTTTTTTTTTGTTTGCTTTTAGTAATGTTGTTTATAGCTCAAAGTAATACTCAACATTACATGCATTTTAGGTCTATTAATAACATTACTCTTGAGTCTTTGACTTGTACACCTAATGTTAAAGACTAATAGTAATATTTAAGCGCACATCTCATGTATCTTCAAATCTATTGCTTAAATTGAGATACCACAACTGACCAATAAAGCATAATCATATTTTTTGACGAGAAAAAAAGAAAAGAAAAAAGGCAGACTTGTATTTCCTTATGCCCATAATTCCTAGAAAGATATATTTAAGCAGAAATACAAACAACTCTTTGGTACAAATGTAATATGAATGGTTAACAATGGGTGTAATGATGCATGAACTACATGATAGAATGATTATGACCACAACTTTGCATAAAAATAACAATAAAACCAACTTGTATTTTTATACTTGACCTTTATGAGATACATGAAATTCCCAAAAGATCTCCCTTTCTAACTTTATGCTTTTGGACTTCAGAAGTCCAATATATATATATATACATATATAAATACGGGTAAGGGTTTGTTTGGCTGATGATACGTTAATTTCATTTTGCAATAGTTATAAATTTTGGGTGTTTACGTTAATTATACACATAGGGCCGTTTAGTTCGTTGATTCGAGTTTTTAATTTGAGTTGAGATATAATTTTATGTGAGAGTTTTTTACTATAGTAAAAAAGTTAAATGTGACTGTTTATGAGAATTTTTTACTGTAATAAAATTCAAATTATAAATTCGAATCAGCAAAACGAATGATGCATAATCTTTTTGTATATTTTCATCTAATGGGTGTGTTATAGTGGTCATTGTGGGCCATGTTTGAGGAGAATGGTGCTGGTGGATCTACATGTGGGCCATCCCCTTTTCCACCTTGGCCTAACTCTGTCTCATACCTTGTGGTACACTTCTTTTGAATAAGGGCCTTGCTTTAACTTAAAGCATGTAGTGAGGTGGAGATCTAAAACAATTAAAGAGCGTTAATTTGAATTAAAGTCCCATCATTCTTAAACAAAAATTAGCTATCGCATCCTTTTTAGTTGTACATCCACCACAACTTTTGATATAATTTCGAATTTTGTAATTGGCTCCTGTAGACATTTTCAGGTCTTATTCATTTCACTGATTTGAATTTAAAATTTGAGTTTTGTTACAGTAAAAAATTCTCAGAAACAGTTACATTTAACTTTTTCGTTACTGTAAAAAGTTCTCACATAAAATCACATTTCAACTCGAATCAGCGAACTAAACGGACCCTTAAACTATGAGGACTGATTTTTTGAGGTTTAATTATATGAATCTTATATAAATGGGAACCAAAAAAGAAGGAAAACAAGTCAATGGTATAGAGTACTTCACGTGAAGCCATTTATTAGAAATGACCCCTTATATTATGTTATGATTATGATACTTCATATCCCTCCGCCCCATTAAAATATAGTCAGACATAAATATCTTGTACCTAGTCTTATAAATTATGGTACTATGTAAAATACAGAAAGGGTAGTAAATAACATATTTTTAAATTAAATTTAGTAAATAATAAATTTTAAAATTATTTATAATAAATAGTAGTTTATTGTGTAATTATTTCATTTAACACTAATAAAAAATAATTTACTTGGTAAAAAAATTTTATTTACGCGGAAATTTTTTTTATCAACTTTAAAAAGAAAATTTATGTGAAAAAAATCTTTTTACTAGTAGTAAATGAAATATTTACGCAGTAAACTGTTACTTACTTTAGTTTTAAAATTTACTATTAACTTAATTTAGTTTTATAAATATATTATTTACATTCTTCAATGTAAATAATACTCTAAATGCGTTGCGTATACAGTTTTTCTTCTAAATTAAAATATTAGACCTAGTTTATAGAAGCAGAAAATATACAAAAAAAAAAAAAAAAAATTACAAGGTACAAAATAAAAGTTAAAAAAGTACACTTCAAAAAATTGCCAAGATAAGTTATGAATTCAGCGTGTATTATATTGCTTAAAATAATGAAACCATTTGGCATTGTTTTTAGCATCTTAAGTTAGCAAGGTCCTTAAAATGTTCAGAGGCATGACATTCGCGCCTTGATTTTCTAAAAGGACATTGAAACTAATGTTGTAAGAATTTTTTAGTTGATGGATTCAGAATTATTCTCGATTTACGTGTATTTTTTGTGAGAGAAAATACTATAGCGAACTATGAATTATGATTCGAACCATAAAACAAATCCTTGAACTAAACGCATAGTTATAATTTTAATTGTAACGTTTCTTTTCCCTACTAAAATAATTCAACAAACATTTATCCTATATAAGCTTTATAATTCTTTTCTTTAAAAAAATATAATATACGCTAGACGAGTGGGGCCTTAACCCATAATGACACCAAAGTTTAATTGGGTCCTGAAGAACCAAACACATTGGTATTGGTATATTTATATTGACGTGTGTACAGTATAAACTACATACATGATACATACATACATATATATTTGCCATGAAAGAACTACATACATACATACATACATACTGTCATACATACATATATATATATATATTTTTTTTTTTTTTTCCATGAAAGAACTACATACATATATGCTATTTCCTGAACATGTGCCAATTTATTTGCAGGTTGACGATCTGAGAAACATTATATATATATATATATATATATATGTATGGAGCTGTGAAACTGAGGTACTCGACACTGTCCATCTAAACTACAATGAGATTTATCATATACGAAAAAAATACTCTTATGGTTATCGTTAAATTTTCATGATTTGATGACGTAACTTCACATTTACCCAAATGATTGTTTCATATGTAAGCATATTGTACAACATTCTTAACGCAAATGGCTCTCATCTCCAAAACATCAAAAGGGAAACAATTAGGTAAGTGAAGAAAGTATAAAACTCTTTTCTTATAAAAATTTAATTTTTTATTCATATATAAGAAAAGAACGGCCCCAAATTTACTTATTGGATTGAAAATAAAATGGAATGAATAGCAAAAGCCACACCCATATGGATAAGTAATTACGTAAAATGCCTACTATGAAGGGTCTGAATTTGTTACCAAAGAATCGATGTGGTCATGTGTTAAGAGTCAGAGAAAGAAATAACCCCTATCTTTATTCTATAGCTCAGTTTCCATGTTAAAATCTCAAATCCACCTCTACGACAATGTAAAAAAATAAACAAGAAGTATTTCAGCAAAAAATAAAGAAATAAAAATAAACTACAAGTAAACCGACTTTATAGTGAATAGATATAGATCCAGTCTCCTTTCATATCAGATGAACTCTTTTTTTTGGGTTAATTTCTTTATTTTTTTTGGCGCTAAACTTGTAAAGACAATAACTTAGAGCCCATTTAGTTTATAGATTTAAACTAATAATTCTTAATTTTAATATTTGAAATATAAAATTTTTGTTAGAGAAAAATACTGTAACATAATCAAAATTATGTATTTAAACGTATGAAACAAGCATGAAACAAACGAGCCGTTAATATTAGGTAACTCAAATCCAACCATATAATGCAGCTTTCCCACTTAGAACGACCACTAAATTTGATTTTTCAGGACCACGTTTGCAAATCCCACAGGAACAAAAGCCAGCACAAAATCAATGCACTTCTTCTATATAAAATAAAATGCTGCTAAAACATAGAAGATAAATGTTTTAAATTATTTCTAAATCAACACATACGCACCAATAATAAATTAGGAAGCAAGTTTAAACGAGTAACTTGTTGCTGTAAACAACACTTTAACACAGAAACCACATCCAGTCCAGAATCTCAAAAAAGACCAAAAAAGAAAGCTTTAAAAGGAAAACGGGTAATAATAAAAACTAAGACTAGCAAGCGCTTGCCATGACACCGCGACCGGCTTAGCACTTGACCTCCTTCAAACCATGAGCGAAATAGATAAAAGTTGGGTCTGTGGCTCCTTCCTTGTAGTAAGCCAAAACCAAGCCGGCATCGTCGGCCATGCTCTCCCCCACAAAGCTGCAAACATTAAAGTTCCGTTTAGTATACATAGGACTATGTAACTGGATACACACAAAGAAGATCAAGTACGAAAAGACCCAAAAAGAAAGATTGAAAAAACATACAATTGGAAGTCCTTAAGCTTTGGAAGAAGGAACTTAATTGCTCCCTCAATGCTCTTCGTGAATTCCTCCTTTTTCTCTCCTTCCAACTTGGCTGACAAAAGCTTGATGTACTTCTTTGCCCAAGCAACAAACTGCTTCTTGTCGAATGAAGGTTGCTCCTGCATAAGATAGCATAATGATTTATCAAATTCAAAGCCGAAAAATTATAGACATCATCAAGGAACCACAAGAAAGAGAGCACTGCATACCTGAAGCCTGAATGTGTCAACAATGTCAACCACCCTAGCAGCTTGGTCGTCAACAGCCTCATCTGCATCGGCACCCTCCGCAGAAGGGTTAGCACCGATGTTTACATCAATTGCTCCTTGGACAACCCACTGGATAAAAGAATCATTCAAAATCATTAGCCAAATCTTGCAAAGACAACAGCAATATAATTATTCAACTGATCTGGTGTTAAAACAAGTAGGATAGGAATCTATCACTGGAAAGCAAACTGATCTTCTAAAGTTGCAGGATTATACTTGCAAATTAACGTTGATATCTTCCATAAGAAGTAACGACTAAGCGAATCTTACATCCAACGCAATAACAAATTTACTAACCTTTCCTTCAACCTCCCAAAGAGCTCTGTTTTCAGTTTCCTTGTATGGAAACGAGTCCGAGAGAAGCTCGTCACCTAAGATTGATTAGGAATTGGTCAAATAACTAGACACAATCAAATACTTGAAGACCAAACAAGCCCAAAATAAACGCACCAAATTGGCAACAATCTTACTCAAAACTACATAATCTACATCAAAGAGTTGAGCATAAGCACACTAGGATTTAAAAACAAACATGCAAAGTCATCAAAACTATATTTGCGACTTGAGCAAAAGCAGCATAATTTTAGCATAAAACCGATAAATTTAACAGCTATTCAATCATAAACGCATGAAAAACAAAGGGAAAAAAATCATCATTCATAACCATAGCTGCTAAAGTACTAATTTTTTAATACAAAAGACACAATTTCTCAGCTAAAAGGCACCAAACTGGCAATAAATTAACCAAACAACCATATTCTATGGCAGGAAATTACATCAAAAAGTTAAAAACAAAAACTTCATTAGCGATTCTTTTTCCTTTATCACAAAATTTATGAACGATTCACGACATAGATTTCAGATCTCAGTAAAATATACAAACATATTCTTAATCTAAACCTATTAAGCACCAGATCCGCACCAAAGAACACAAACCAGGGATCAAATCTGAAAACTATGCTAACTATTTATACACACACATACATACATATATCAATTATCAAGCATAAGAGATCGAATTCGAAATCGAAGAGCAAATATGGGAGAATTTTTTGGGGAATTTTACCGCTGAGAAGGTCCTGGTAAACCAACATGATTGCAGAGAATCTGAAACTGATGGCTCCAAAGATGGGGTTTTTTTTGCAGAGGCGAGAGGAGAGAGACGCAGCGCTGGGAGAGCGAGAGAGGGTTTGGAAAGGTTTGGACGGCTCCTATTTATGGACGAGGGTTTGATGGCAAACGACAAGTGGGGAAGAATCCAATAATTACGAGATCAGGACACTGCTTTTAATAGAATTCCTTTTGCGTCCCTATCCCACTCGGACTCTACTTTCCCTTCCTGAAATATTTTTTATTTATTTATCATTTTTATTTAATTTGATAATTTTGACAAGGCTGTATAGAAGATTATTGTTTCTTAAAATAAATAAAGTGATGTTTGGTAAAGAGATTCGTACTCTGATTCGAATAATGATTTATAGTTTGTTATAGTATTTTTTTTCATAAAAAATACACGTAAATTAAAAATAGTTCTAATCTCATGATTTTAATCCATGAACCAAACGTCTCCTAAATAATATGTGCTTTATCGCGAACTAGAACACTATCGTTTTCAAGATTTTCCCCCTGAGGTCATTGTCGTTTTTTATGTTGCTGTCGTATTTGTATCTGTCGCCGCTTGGTATATTCTAGTCGTTTTCGTGTGTCTCCCTGCTTAACTTCGCGTCGTTTTGTTTTGTTTTGTTTGTTTGTTTATTATTATTTTTTGTATTTTGGGATAAAACATCAAAGCTTTACGTCGTTTTGGTTGATGTACGTATATATAAGTTTACTTTTTCTCATTTTTTATTTTTTTATTTTATTTGATTAGGCCGGATGAGATTACTTAAAGTATAGACCCTTTAAAATTCTTAGCCCCCCTCACAAAAATTTATGGCTTCGTCGCTTGATGTATTTATTTATAAGTTTGAATCCCTCTCGGACTCTACTTTTTCTCCCTTTTTCTAATTTTGTTATTTTTGATAGACCGTATTATAGATCACTTGTTATACTTCAAAAGAAAAAGAAAGGGATAAGTTTACTTCATTTGAAATTTGAGCATTGTCGTTTTCAAAATTTGTCCCTTCTGAGGTCATTGTCGTTTTTTATGTTTTGTTGTGTTTATATACGCTTGGTATATTATAGTCGCTTTCTTATGTCTCCCTTGTTGAAGTTAATGTCGTTCTGGTTGATGTGTGTATTTTAAGTTTTCGTTTAGGGTCGTTGTCGTTTTTACGTCTTCTTATATTGTCGTTGTCTTTTTAGCTCGATGTCGTTTTTGTCATTTGTATCGTATCTTATTTAGTTGTTGTCTGATTAGTCGGTCTCCCTTCCGTGGCTTCTTTACATATTTTTTTCTCATTTTGTCGGTGCCTTTTTTGATTAACGTGGTATCATGGATATTTGGTGCATGTTTAGAATTGTTTTTAAAAAAAATTGTTTTTACGGATTTTGAGAAGTAAAAAAAAAAAGAAAAAGAAAAGACGTTTGTTTAATAAATATTTTAAAAATAAAAATAAAAATAAAAATAGTGAGAAAACAGTTGAAAGTTATTTTTTTTTTTCATTTTTTAGTACTTAGCAATAATATTATAATATATTAATTAATAAATACGATTTTATTTTTTTATTATACTAAAAATAATATCTTAAAAAACTAACTAAACGCAATTTCAGAATTGTTCATAGAATAATTCTCAAAACAATCTCATTTTTACTTTTTATTAAAAACAAAATTATTTTAAAATTAATTTTAAACACACGTTTTCTCTCGTTTCCATTATTGTCGTTTTTTTTTTTTTTTTTTTTTTTTTTTTTTTTTTTTTTTTTTTTCATACTGATGAGAATTGCTATGGTTGTGCCCCTTGGATGCACCACCTATCGAATTGCTTTGAAGGGATGTATTCAAAATAAAGGTTGTTTTTGGGCATGCATTTTTTTTTTTTTTTTTCAAATCGCGGCACAACAACTACTTGAAACTCAATTCCTTTGTAAGAATAACGGTACGTAACAACTATTTGATATCTCATCATAAGGTCGTCCTTTTACAACATTTTTTAAGTTAAAAATAGCGTGACACAACAATCTATTTTAAAGAGAAATATCCCTTTGAACTCCATCGATTACACCTCTCTCTACTATTTGGATATCATTTATTTTGAAAGATCTAATTCCTCTTGTGTCTCTAAAATTACATTTTCGATTTTTTCATTAATAAACTATTTATTTTCAAATAAAATATTACATATGAATTTCATGAAAGCATATGAGATCTACCACAAAAAAATTTTTCAAGAAAATTTTAAAGAATATTTTTTGTTTCATAAAAAACCAGCGATTGTCTTCAATCATTTGAATTCTAAAATGTTTTCTCTTTAATTTTTCAAATTCGTATTTTTATGGTCTTATTATGCGAGTGTATAGCCATTAAATATAATTAAAATCAAATTAAAATAAAAAATATACAAAATAGATAATTTTTAATACACGTCTGATAGTATAAAAAGAGAGACTTAACAATAATTTATTTTTTCAAATCCTAATGTAAAAATATCCATATTTTAATGGAATGAATGATTTTTTTTTAGTTGAGCTAGGAGGTATTTATTTTTATAAAAATTTTCTTAAAGCTTTTTAATAAAAAGCTACCTTTTAATTTTTTCTAAATTTCTTTCTTGTCCTTATAATATTATATTTCATTTTGATGGAAGAGGAAAATACCAAAAGGTTACACAAACAGAGATCTAAAGACCCACAAATTTAAGCGGGAAAACATAATTTCAAAAGCAGAGTCAAGAGAGCGACGACCTCAGAGGTTCATCCATGGAGGAAGCCATATCCCGTATCATCGCAGAGCTCGAAGAACTTCGTCATTCCCAACTAACACCTTCCATCTCCGATTCCTCTCTCTCAGACCTCCAAACCCTCCTTGACAACACTCTCGACGATGACTCCGAGCCCATCGACCGCCTTTACGCCGAGCTCTCCGCCAAGTCCCTTTCTCCGTCGAATCTCGTCTCTCCCCTCGCTTCCGCCATGGATTCCGGCTCCCCAAATCTCTCCCTCGTCGCCTCTAAGGTCTACCTCTCAATCCTTCTCTCTCCTAATTCCCCCGTCCTCACTCTCTTCACTCCCATGGCGTTTCTCTCTCTTCTCCGCTCGATTCGCCGCTGTCTCAAGCGCCGGCCGCCGTCCCAGCCCCGTTCCGGCGAATCGAGTCAGGAAGTTGCGGCCAATCGGAAGAGGAAAACCGGCTCGCGAGGCCGGTCATCGAAGAAGCGTGGACGGAGTCGCCAAGAAGGAGATCATGACGGCGAAGATAGCGAGCTCGATACTAGGGTTTTGTTTACTGTGCTCGAAAGATTGGAGCTTGTAATGAAATTGATTCATTTGGACCGTTTTCCGGATAGTTTGAAGTCTTTGGTTCAAACAGTGGCTGAAATTCCAGTTATGGCAATTGAAGTTTGCACTAATTCGGGCAATTACAACAGATTGACCGACTTCTGCTCGAAGATTTTGCTCGAAGTCCTCAGGCCGGAGCATGGAGATGAGGCCAACACGGCGGCAGAGGTTTTGAAATCGCTGTCGCCGATGATTCTTCAGTGCAAGTCACAAGCGCGGATTTTTGCTCTCGAATTCGTGACGATTCAAATGACGAACGTGGCAAACCGATCTGACGGTGTGAAGAAAGCAATGGTGAATTATCCGAGGTATTTGGTAGTGAAGGCGCCAGAGAAGTCTGAGCCTCGGGCTTTGGCTGTGGAATCAATAATGGAGGTGATTCGAATCATGGAATTTGAAGATCAAATGGGGTTTGTGGAATATGTAATGAAGATGAGCCAAGGAAAGTCCAACTTGAGGCTATTGGCGACTGACCTTATTCCAATGCTTGTGATGTCGTTGAGGGGTCCATTAGACCTGGACTCGGAAGATGGAGTAAAAGATTCATGGGGTATGAAGTGTTTGAAGGCTTTGATCCAGCGGTGTTCGGATGTAACCGCAGGA